AGGACTAAGGCAACTGGTAAGAAGACTTTGTAATTGGATATTCTTTGGACTGTAAAACGTACACGAACTGGACCGTTTATTGGACTGTGCTAGTTCTTAAAGTAAACTTTTAACTCAATTTAGTGCTTCTATGTGTGGCTTGAATAATTATTCATAACTACTCTCATCAACCTTTCCATGTGCGTATCCTTGTTACTCAAGGGTTATTCTGTACATAACAGAGCTCTCTGACCCAGGCCAACTTTCTCCCACCGCCTGGACAGGAGAGGGCAGGGACAGCCCCTCTCCCTGGCGTGGTGGTCATTCGGGGCACGGCCGCTGCCCAGACAAGGGGGAGGAGGAGGAGGAGGAGGAGGGTCTGGCAGTCTCCTCTCCAACTCCCTCTCAGGGGGCAGGGTACCCACCTGGCTCGGACAGCATGGGCCGGCCGGGTGCCGCCGCCGCTCCCTCCACTGGTTACTCCGCTGGTGTTGAGGGCAGTCGCTATGGAGGACGTCCGCTGGGGAACCTGGGGGGGGAGGGGGGAAGGAGAGGGTGAGGATGAAGACCCCCCCCTTTGCAAAGGATTTGAGGGGAGGGGTCTCCGCCTAGGGGAAGGATCCTGCCTAGATGCCCCTTCGAGCTGCAACCACCAGGGTCTCGAACCCAACCTGGGCCAGGCGGCAGGAAGAGGTCCCTGGGCCCGCCGAAAACGGGAAGTAGGGGAGGGGCTTTCTGGTGGAGTCTGCCCATCCTCCCGCCCCTCCCCTTTCCCCCTCCCCCGCCCGTGGATTACCTGGGGGGGTCCATCGGGGTCCATTTTGACCCAAGGTCCACGCTGGTCCGGACTGGGTCGGGAGGGCGGTGGGAGCGGCCCCTCGGAGGTGGGGTCGGAGTTCTGCCGGATCATGGCCCCGCGAGGAGGGGGCGGGGCAGAGGAGGAGGAAGAGGAGGAGGAGGAGGAGGCGGAGTCATGGACGGGGAAGGCAGCCATGTTCTTGCCGGGCTGGTCCTGCAGCGACTGGGAGCGAGGGACGGGGGCGGCGTAGGGTTTGAGCGGGACGCGGTGGGCCAGGTGGCTCTGTGGAGGGAGGCAGAGGCCGGGCGCGGGGGTCACGGAAGTGGGGAATAATCCGGCTCCCCAGGGCGGGAGGAGGGCGTGCGGCCCACCCCCCCCAGCCCTGGGGCCCCACTCCCTCTCTCAGGGGATGCCCAGATCTCTTCTCTGGGGGTGGGCACGACACGGGGCTCCGGAGCCTCAAAGGGGCAGGCCGATCGAAGCAGCAGCCGATGGAAGGAAGCAGCTGGGATGGCAGAGGCGGAAGGGGAGCGGGTGGGGAGGGGAGGAGAGGGAGGGGAGGGGGGCTCACCTTGTGCTGCCCCTCCTGGGGCTCGACGGGGCGTTGCATGGGGGGCGTCGGCGAGGACGAGGCGAGGGAGCCCGGCTCCACGCAGGGCTGCGGGGCAGCGGCGTCCGGCCCGGCGGCTCCCAGCTTGGCCTTGGCCGCCAGCGACGGGGAGCTCTCCTTGTTGGCTCGCTCCTCCACCTGGCGGAGGGGGCGACACTCAGCGGCACTCAGCATATCCCTCCTTCCCTCCCCGCCGGGGTTGAAGGGTACCTCGCGGGCCCAGGGGGGCTTCTCGGCGCCGGCTGCCCCGCCGCGGCCGTGGTGGTAGAGGGGCTTCGGCGGTGGCGCCTGCTGCTGCTGCTGCTGCAGGGATTTGAGGTAGGCGTGCTCCTGTTGGAGCTGCCGCTGCAACCGCTCCGACTGCCGCTGCTCTTCCAGCTGCTTGCGCTTGTACTCCTGCGGAGGGGGAGGAGGAGGAGGAAGAGGAGGGACGCCGCTAGGACTTGGGGAGGAGGGGGGGAGTTGGGTAACCCCGGCCCAAGGGGATCCCCCTCCCCGTCTTACCAGCAGCAAAGCCTGTTCCTGTAGGAGCTGTTGCTGCAAGATCTCAAGCTGCCTCTGTTCCTCTTCCAGCTTGTGCCTGATGTACTCCTGGGGGGGGAGAAGGAGAGGGGAGGGGCGGTCCCGGTGAGGGAGGGGCATCCGTCGAGCCCCGCCCCCTTCCCAAGAACCCCCCAAACACCCCGCCCACCGGCCTGCCAACTCCCTTCGCGCAGGGAAGCAGGAAGGGGGCCCTCCCCGCTGCACGCGCACGGACGCGCGCCCACCTGCTCCCGCTCCGCCTGCCTGCGCTCCTCTTCCCGGCGCATCACTTGCAGGTCCTCCAGGCGCCGCTGGTGCTCCTTGCCCTGCAGTTTCCGCTGCTCCCGCTCTCGGCGCTGTTGCTGTGGACGGACAAGCGGGGGGGAAGGGGGGAAGAGGGCAGCTAAGTGGGTGTAGGAGGCCTGGGGGGCTCCGGGCACCCCCAAGGCCAAACCTCAGAGGGTCCGAGGGGTCTGTGTGTGTGTCTGTGTGTGTGCGTGGACTGGCCCAGCTAGGAGGCTCTGACCTTTCTATCTATATCTATCTATATCATTTATCAATTTATCATCTATCACCTATCTATATCCTATCTATCTATCATTTAATTATATTCTATCATCTATATCTATCCTCTATATCTATATCAATCATCTATCACGTATCTATATCCTATCTGTCTATCTTGTCTATCATCTACATCTTTCAATCTATATCTATTCTCTAATCTATATCAATCATCTATCACCTATCTATATCTTATCTATATCCTATCTATCATCTATCATTTATTTATAGTCTATCATCTATATCTATCTATATCTATATCTATATCAATCAATCATCTATTGCCTATCTATATCCTATCTATATCCTATCTATCATCTATCATTTATTTATAGTTTATCATCTATCTTCTATATCTATATCTATATCAATCAATCATCTATCACCTATCTATATCCTATCTGTCTATCTATCTATCTAGTCTATCATCTATATCTTTCAATCTATACCTATTCTCTATATCAATCATCTATCAATCTATCATCACCTATCACCTATCTATATCTATATATCAATCACCTATCTATCTATCTATCTATCATCTATCTATGTCTTTCCATCTATATCTATCGTATATATATCAATCTATTAATCTTTCATGCATCACCTATCTATATCCTATCTACCTACCTACCTACCTATCATCTATCCATCATCTAATCTAACCTGCCTGCCTGCCTGCCTGCCTGCCTGTCTGTCTGTCTGTCTGTCTATCTATCTATCTATCTATCTATCTATGCATGCACCTATGCATCTGTCTGTCTATCTGTCTGTCTGTCTGTCTATCTATCATCTATCTATGCATCCATCCATCTATTTATCCATCCATCCATCTATCTATCTATGCATCCATCTATCTATGCATCTATCTGTCTGTCTATCTGTCTGTCTATGTATCTATCTTATTGTTCTTTTACACCTTAAAAAAACTGAACACCACCTTAAACCGCACTGGAGCACCAATGTTGGGGCCGTTTCCTTTACACCTGCTTGGACCCCAACGTCATGCTGGTATCTACACCCTTTGCTCCATCGTTACGGCATGAAGTTCACTACACATCCACTGCTCTGTCTTTCAACTGCTGGCTGAGTATAGAGACAAGTCAGTTAAACCCTACAGAGTTTGATTGGATGATCTTAGGCATCCTCGAGGTATAACTCGCCGTGATGTCGAGATTCACTCTGACGTCATAGTGTGAAAATTACAGAGATCTTCGTCCCGTAACGATGGAGCAAAGGGTGTGGATACCAGCACGAGGCTGGGGTCCCATCAAGAGTGAAGGAACCTCCCCCCCTCAACCCAACCAAGGGTCAGTTCAGTGACCAATCAGGATGACAGATGCGAGCACGTGACATGGACTACATCTCCCATGAGGCATTAACTACATTTCCCACGAGGGATTCCCTTAACAATCTCAATTCCCAATTGACCATATACTGTCTGAACAGCACAATCGTTATTATACATATCCATCTCTTATGAATATTTAACATATACATTTACAGTTATCTACATTTATTTACTCTTCTTTTCTTAATTATCTTTATTTCCTATTTTCCAGCCAATTATACCCCAAATTTCGCGACAGTCCGACTCTTCTTTCGCTTTTAATTTTAGAGTCGCTCTATCCCTTTTGAATGGCCGATTCATCCGAACGCTGTTATGCTTCCAACATGGCGCGCGTTCTGCTTGCCGTGGTCAATAAATGTAAGATTCCATCTTTTCCTTGTATTCCTTTTTAAATGTTCCCAACATGAATAGCTCGGGTTCAAATTCTATTTGTTCTTTTACTATTTCTTGTAACCAGTGCCTAATTTTACTCCAGTATCTTTGGGCTACGGGGCAGGACCACCACATGGGGTAGAAAGTGCCTTGTGCCTTTTTTTAAAAACCCTTCCAGCATACTGGGTTCACGTTGGGATGCATTGTAGCTAATATCATTGGAGGCAGGTGCTGTTAGGAACCTGTCCACCAATTAGTTGGGTCAGCAATAGACAAACCAACAATGTATGTTTGTCGCTTTCAGACAAAATCACTGGATTGATTTATATTATATTCCGACTGATTATATTGCAAATTACCGTAAGAGGGAGCTAGAGATCATGGCTTGTTCTGATATTTTCTGTCTCTCTGACATTCTGTTGCTATCTAAGGTTCGCTATTCTATTTATGCTGTGCTTATACTTTGATATTTTTGTTTACTGGAAAGGACAAAGGCAACTGGTAAGAAGACTTTGTAGTTGGATATTTTTTGTTTACTTTGATATCTTTGTTTAGTGGAAATGACAAAGGCAACTGGTAAGAAGACTTTGTAATTGGGTATCTTTGTTTACTTTGATATCTTTGTTTAGTGGAAACGACAAAGGCAACTGGTAAGAAGACTTTGTAGTTGGATATTCTTTGGACTGTAAAACGTATATGACCTGGACCGTTTACTGGACTGTGCTATTTCTTAAAGTAAAACTTTTAACTCAATTTAGCGTATCTGTGTGTATCTGTTTACTCTCATAAGCATTTCCACGTGCATATCATTGTTACTCAAGGGTTATTCTGTACGTAACAGATGCCACCGGTAGAACATCGTACGGATGTTTTCTGTATAGGCCGACGATCTTGTTAACGTATAATTCGGATTCCAGATTTTTTTCACCCCTTCATCCTGCTAGATCTCAGTCTACTCACCTCTTCCACTCGCCGGCGCTCCTCCTTCTGCTCCTCGATGCGGCGCTGGCGCTGGTGCAGAAGGTGCTTGATGTGGGCCTCGGAGTCGCGGTGCTGGGCGGCCAGCTGCTGCTGCAGCTTCAGGGCCTCCGAGTTGCTCTTGTTCTCCTGCTGCAGGCGGAGGAACTCCCGCCTTAGGGTGGACTCCCCGGGGACGTTCATGATGGAGCTGGGGGGGGAGAGGGCGGCACAGAGTGAGGCGGGGAGGGGCTCAACTGGCTGCCAAGAGGCACCAGGGAAGGGTCAGGCGGAGTGGAACCCGCCCGTCTGCCCCTCTGTACCTCGGCTCTCCTTCCTCGCCGCGCCCGTCGTCCTCTTCCTCGCTGCCGCTGTACTCATACTCGGTCTCGTCTGATGGGAGGAAAGAGCAAGAGGCCGGACCAGTGCAGGGCAGAATCAGGCACTCCCTCCCCGGCCGGCCGGCCACCCCGTGACCCAGAGCCACAACCCCCCTCCCCACTTACCCTTCTCCCCCCTCTTCTTGCGGGTGCGGTCGATGTGGTCCTTCAGCTGGATACGGACCTGCCGCTCGGTGGGCTGGTCACGGATGAAGGGGAATTTCAGCAGCTGCTCAGTGGATGGCCGGTTGGGGTAGGCTTTGATCAGGCAGTTGTCAATGAAGTCGATGAATTTCTTGGACCTGGCCCAGAGCGGGAGGGAGGGGCTGGGGTTACACTGCTCCTCCCCCACCCCAAGGGGAAGGCCCCAAGAAAGGGAGGCCGGTCACCCGTAAGCCCAACTCGGCCGTTCTCAGCGCCTGAGAGCTAGCGGGGAGGCTCCCCACCAGGCATGGTGACTTCGGCCAGACCCCGAGATGGAAGCCGTTACAGGAGAAGCCTCCCCCTGCCACGCATCCTCCCTCACCCCCCTTCAGAAGGAAGGAAAGCAGGGGCTGCCATCTTAGACAGGACCAAGCAGGGTTGCCATCTGGCCGTTTTTCCAGCCAAATTCGAGAAATCTGGCCGTATGAAAGTTGCATGGCCGTGAAATCGACATTTTGGCCGAATGCCAGTTTTCAATACAATATATTCACACGAAAACGACTGTCAGGTCGTCTGAAAACCGACGCGATACACAGGCTGAAGCCTTCTGACTGTGAACCGCGCTGCGTAATAGAAGCGGATGTTAACCCGGATGTAAACATCTCAGTATTGGGACTGTTTTCTCGCCAGCCGGCAAGAAAATCCCAGATGTGCGACCGAGTAATTATTTTCATGCAATTATTGGGGTAATTCCTCTCTTTTTGAAAAGATGGGAATTACCCCAATAATTACATGAAAATAATTACATCCGCTTATATTACGCAGCGGTTCAGTCAGAAGGCCTTCAGTTTTCGTAAGATTTCTATAGATAATTGCTAATTTTTTTTAGGGTCATTTTGTTTAGCGATTATATTTTTTCAATCGGGGGCGGGGAATCCCCCTAAAAAGCGTCATGATGCCCTAGCTCCCCCCTCCTCAGGATCGCTGCATTCGGCCCTGAGCTTTCCAAACGGTAGCAGCGGTTATGTGAGGTGAGCTGCCTAGCCTGGATCGGAGTAAAGAAACGCAGAAATTCCCACGACGTCATGTCACGTCGTCGAATAAAGACTATTTTTTTATGAGTTGATTATTTAAAAACAGTTTAAAAAAACACAAAAAACCCACAATATATCCTCATGTTACATTGCATAAAAAAAATTGGCTGGAAAATTTGGCCGTGAGAGCAAATAATTGGCCCGAATCGGGCCATATTTTGACTTGAGCTTGGCCGCAGAGCCAAGCTGCGGGATCTGGCAACCCTGGGACCAAGTCCGTCCGTCCGTCCCCACCCTGCCTCATCCCCCGTTGCCTCTTTAAAGCCGCCGCAGGGAGGACGTACCACTTCTTGGACTTCAGCTTGGGTGGCGGATTGCGTGGGATCAGGAAAAGGGCCCGCATGGGGTGCATGTCGCACAGGGCTGCAAGAGGGGTGGGGGGAAGAGGTGAGCCGAGCCGGGGGTCGACGGGTGGTGGGCCCAACCCTCCCCTAGAGACGCTGCGGCGGACACTCACGGGGGGCTCCTTCGGCCATCTCGATGGCCGTGATCCCCAGGGACCAGATGTCGCTCTGCAGAGGAAGACGGAAAGGAAGGAGAAGGCGGTGTCAGGCCTGCTCCGACTTGGCTCCTGGAGTTGAGAGAGACCCTCGACTCCCAACTCCTCCGAAGTCTCCCCAATCCCCATCCCCACTGGCCTCTCTGACATGCAAGACCCCCCACCCGCCCCCCCCCACATCCCCGCAGGTTTCCCGGAGACCTACTCTGTAGTCGTACGTGGCATCCGGGTTTTCGTCGCAGGCGATCACCTCCGGCGCCATCCAGTACGGGGTGCCGATGAACGTGTTCCGACGCCCGACCGTGCGGTCCAGCTGGGCGCTGACTCCAAAGTCCACTGCGGAAAGCCAGGAAGGGGGGGGAAGGCGGGGAGGGGCTGGTGTGATTGTCTGAGGGGCCCTCGAAGGGGAGGGGAGGGAACGACAGGGAACGCGCCCGCCGCAAAGGCCAGAGGAGTTTCGTGGCCCGCTTGGAAATTTGGCTCTAACTTGGCTCGCTCTGCCGGCACGGCTAGAGGAGCCCGAATTTCCCCGGGGTGTGTCGGAAATCGAGCGCAGGCTGGTCCTTCAGAGGGGGCAGATTATACCTCCCCCCCCCGGTGTGGGGGTCCTCCCTCCCTCTCCCCCTCTGGTTCCAGAGAGGAGCCAGTAGCCCACCTACCCAGCTTCACTTCGGCGTTCTCCGTCAACAAGACGTTCTGACCCTTGATGTCGCGGTGGATGACTTTGTGCGCGTGCAGGTGAGCCAGGCCCTGGTGGGGTGCGGGAGGAAGGTGGAGATCAGCCCAGCGCAGCGGAAGGGGCCGCCTCCCCGCCCTCCCCCTCCGTCCAGGAGCCCCTCCTCCTCCTCTTCCTCCTCCTCCTCCTCACCCGCAGGATCTCGCGGCAGACGTAAGCGATGCAATCCTCCTTCAACGCATTCCCCTTGGTGTTCTTCACCAGGTCCGTCACGGAGCCGGCTCCGCAAAACTCCATCACCAGCTGGGGAGGGGAGGGAGGGGGGAGAAAAGGGAGAGGGAAGGGGGAGGTCAGGGCTAGCCAAGGCCGGATCTCGGGGAGACCCGCTCCCTCCTCCAGTCCTCACCCAGAGTTGGTCATCGTTGCCGGGCGGGCTCTTCTTCACGAAGGCCCCGTAGTAGGTGGCGATGTTGCGGTGGTGGGAGTATTTCTTCAGCATGTTGATTTCTTGTTTAATCTCTTCTTCTTCGTCCTTCCGGGGCGGGGAGGGAGGAAGGGCAGGTCAAGAGTTGGGGGAGAACCCCCCGCCGCCCGGCCGAAGAGCAGAGCCACCCTTCCGTCCGCCTCCCCTGGAGCCTCGCTGCCCGACTCCCGACCCCAGTTCCCCCTTTCCAGGGAGCGGGGACGGAGCCTGTGCCTACCTCCGTGACGTCCATGACTTTGATGGCGGCCAACTGGCCCGTCTTGACATGGCGGCCCTGGCAGAGGAGAGGGGGGAGGGAAGAGGAGGAGGAGGAGGAGGAGTCAAGTCAGAGGCCCCTCCCAGGCCCCCCGATCCCCAAGCGGAGGGTCTGGGGACAGAAGCTTTTGGGAGGGGGAAGTGGGCTTCCGGTTCTGCCCACGGCCTGATCCGCCGGCTGGGGGTCGGAGGTGGCGGCGGCCCGCCGGGCCCTGCCGGTTCGGAGCCCTCCTTCCAGATGCCACGCCGAGGTCTTGAACCTACGTCCATCCCCGTCCGTCCGTCCGTTGCCCTGCCCTCCCCTGGGCGTACACCCCGATTCCTCCCTGCCTCTTTTGGGGTGAAGGGGGGCAGGACTGGCCCCAGAAAGGGAGGGGGGGTCCCAGTAGCTTTTAATCTCCCCTCCCCTCGTCTTCGAGCACCCTGATGGCCCCCAGCAGCCCCAGGGGGGAGGGGAGGAACCAAGGGCTGCCCCTCCCTCTGAAGGCCGGCTTGTGGAGGAGGAGGGGGGGGTCTTTCACCTTGGGGGAGGCGGCTGGCGAGGAAGAGGAAGGGCAGCCATCGCTGCAGGAGGGAGGGGAGACCCCTCCCAGTCCAGCCCCACTGGGCGGCAGCCCTCAAGCGCGGTTGGAGGAGGAGGAGGGGGGGAGAGCCACGGGGCGATCTCCACCCCCCCCTGCCCTCCGCCGTGCGCTGGCATTGTCTTCCCCGCGAGGCAGCCTGGCGTGGGCAGCCGTTGCTCAGCAACCGCCTCGCGCTTCCTTTCAAGGGACCGGCGCTAAAA